AATGCAGGATATTTCAGGGTCCTAAAGTCCAATATGCTGTGCATGTTTATATCCCTCTTTTTAATGCCAATGCCCTTGTAACTACTATTGTTTTTAACATCTCTATAGTTCTGCTTTTTCCAAAATATCCTGGAATAGCATTCATATAATACGTAGGCTTGCCATATTAGCTTCTTTTATTAAGCAAGATACAAGTCATGCTTCCTCCATGTTTCTTGATAGCCCATTTGTGTTTGTTGCTGAATAATACTCCAGTATCCTGATGTACCCATTGGTCTAACCATTCATATAACTTACTATTGTATATTTTAAAATATGTGTGTGTGCATGCATGCATAGTGCATATGTGGAGGTCTGAAGACAAACTGTGGGTGTCTGGGGATCCAACGTGGGTCCTGGGGATCCAACTCAAGTCTCCAGTTTTGGCAGCAGGCACCTCTACCTACTGAACTGTATCACTAGCTCTTACTGTTGTATTTTAAAACAAATAATAGAATGCTTCTGTACATAAGAGTTGTTGAATCAATAGTCATTAAATGACCTAGTTAGATAGATGGGGATAGACAGGGCAATTAAGTTGTTAGGCACTGACTACTGCAAATATACAGTTAAGCAGCTTATCCAAGAGGAGAAGCTTAGGCTGGCAATATAGATGGCTTTTGAGGCCCAGGCTTTTAAGCATCATCTCAAATCTCTCTAGAAATACATTGTTCAATAACACCAGCCACCAGCCACTTGTGGCTACTAGAACATAAATCAATTAAAAGCAAATTAAAAAAAAAAGAGTATCTCAATTGCACTGGCTACCTTCCCACTGCTCCATAGCTGTCCATGGCTAGTGGCTACCATTTTGAACCACACAGATGCAGATATTTCCTTCACTGCAGAAACTTTCACTGGCTAGCCCTGATTCACATAAAAGCATTCCAGCTAGAGGATGGGATTGGAATTAGTTGACCAAGCTGATTCTGGTTTCTCTAATGCATTCGCTCTTTTGTGCAACCGGCACTTTACAATAAAAGGGATGAAGCCGAGAGATTTGTTTGCTGGGGAAAAAATGTTGCTTAAAATGACTCGCTGGGGATAAAAAGGCTGTCCAGGCCAGTGGAGCTGTGAAATGCCCCACATGACAGCCCCAGGATGCCTGGCTTGACAACAGTCTGGACCCTTGAACAGCTAGTGTTAAGGAGTCTTACAGAACTCTCAACTTTTGCAAATTTAGTTGGGTGAAAAGCAAAGGCTTTCTCTAATTTGAGGGGATGGGATAGGTGCAGAGAGGGAGTTCAGCTTTCTCAAGTAAAACCTGAGACGTTTATGCCCATCCCTTCCGTAAACTCCTATGGCCACTGCGTGCCAGGAATGTGAAGCTTGAATGAATGGTGGACATGTGCCACAGAAATTGTAGCTAGCTCCCTTGAAATTGAAATTACTGTTATTTGGGAGCAAAGCAAATAGCAGTTAAGTTTTCACCTTTTTGCCAGCTCTTTGGATGTGGTCAGATCTAATTTCATTCCCATGGTGGGTGTAACAGTGAGGCACAGTCAACACTGTCCTGTCACTCCGTTTAGATTTCAGTCTTCTGTTCACTTTACATATGGTATTTTGATAAAGTCTTCAGTTTTTCCTTCGAAACAAAATTGCCAATAGCCAAGATGGTATTAAATTGTGTTTTTCCTTAGTGTGTAGTCTGGAAGTTTGCTGTTGACATTGGTGATGGTTTTTAGTATGATTGTAGAGGCAAATGTTAAATTGCATTGCCTGTACATTGAAACTTTAAATACTGACTTATCACCTTTTGAGATGCCCGAGACTTACTATGAAAAGGTGAACTTGACAACATACTGTGCCTACCATCATTCCTGTGAAAAGACTTAACATATTGTGGTATTTGGAGGTTCCGTTGGGGTGTGTCCACTTGGAATCATAACTGTCTATAAATACAGGCCTAGAATTGACAGTTTTCTCTAAAAATAGGCACAGAGAAAATAGTATATTATCTTGCAAATTGAGAATTTGAAATGCCAGATCTCAAAAGAAGTTGAATTTTCATTCAGTCTTTAATCCACTCTTGCCTGCTAAACAACTGTTACAAGAGTAGCCAAAGTTTAATCAGTATTTAATAATTTTTTAGCTTATTCATCTGTCTTTACAAAGAAAAAGAAAAACAACACTCTGTCCCCCTTGGACAAAAGGCAGAGTATTAGATGGATTTGTTATATGTGGATATGTGGTATGGTGTGCATGTGTGTGTGTGTGTGTGTGTGTGTGTGTG